ATAAAATTAGTAGATAAGGACTTTGAAACAGCTGTTATACCAAGTGCAATGACAGCCTATGTTTACACACAAAAATGTATGCAAATGTTTATAGCAACTCTATTCATCATCTTCAACGTATGGAAACAATCAGGTGTTTCTTAATTAGAGAATGGATAAACTTAAGACAAAAAGGAACAAACTACTGAAACATACAACAACATGGATGAGTTGCAAATGCATTCTAATAAGTGAAAGAAGCCAGAATCAAAAGACTACATACTGTATGATTCTATTTGTACAATATTTTTCTGTTTTTAATAGCTTTATTGAAATGTAATTTATATACCATGCAATTCACCCATTTAAAATGTACAATTCAATGGTATTTAGTATAGTCACAGAGATTTGCAACCATCGCTGCAGTCAAAATTTTAGAAGATTTTCATCACCTGAAAATAAACTCATATTCTTTAGCTTTCACCTCCCTGTCTTATTTCTCCTCTCCCCCAGTCCTAAATAACCATTAATCTATTTTCTGTCTCCAGATTTGCCTATTATGGGATATTTCATATAAATGAAGTCATATAGTATGATGAATTTTGTGACTGACCTCTTCACTTTACATTGTGATTTCTTCCCCCCCCACCACCACAAATAGGGCTTTTAATTTGACACTATTAAAAGTCTGAATGTTAAACAGATTCTTGGACTGATGGTTCATATCTATCAGCTCATTCAACTTTAGCACCTTTCTCATCCTTGGTAGCTTTTTCAAAACTACTACTTTGATCATGAAGCTACATGAGTTTTCCCGATTCAAACTTGGGCTTCTTCATTTTTACTTTCCTAATGAAGACATCATGGAGAGGATAAATAGTCAAGCCTTTTCTATGTCTTTTCCAGTGCTGTCTGGAATCAATTTATTGACCACTTCTTTCAAGTCATTTGTCTGCACCTCTTGGGTCATGATTTCCATCATCTTCTGGATTTGGCAGACCTGTTAGTGTTAATTGTAAGAAGTCTTCCATATATAATTGTTGCATATTTTAGTAAAATCAACATAAAACAGACAAAGTAAATAATCATCGGTAGTCTTGACATCAGTGTGAACTTAAATCATGGTCTGCTATTTTTTAACTGTGGAACACATTTTGTCACAGGTAAGATCCATGCCATGGACCTTAGTCAGGCATTTTTGCCCTGAACATCTTCAGGATCAGCTTGAATTTTCTAAATGCAACTTCATCATTCTGCACATCAGACAAACTCATTTCAAACACATGATCCTTGAGGCCATCAGATGCAATTTTGATTCCTTGAGTCCTGGTGACAAGTGTCTTTCCCATAGTTATGTTGAACATAACAGGTGCTTTCACATCATGCCAATCTTTCTTAGAAAATGGATCAAGCTATTTGAGCCCAGGAGGTCGAGGCTGCAGTGAGCTGTTGATCACACCACTGCACTCCAACCTGGGCTACAGAGCAAGACCTTGTTTCTAAGAAGGAAGGAAGGAAGGAAGGAAGGAAGGAAGGAAGGAAGGAAGGAAGGAAGGAAGGAAGGAAGGGAGGGAGGGAGGGAGGGAGGGAGGGAGGGAGGGAAGGAAGGAAGGAAGGAAGGAAGGAAGGAAAGGAGGGAGGGATTTTAGACTTGCCAGCCTCCATAATTGTATGAGCCAATTCTTTATAATAAATGTTTTTATTTATTTTATTTATTTTATTTTTTATATATATATTAAAAACTGCACTATCTATCTATCTATCCTCTCTGTCTCTCTCTCTACTATATATAAAAATAGCCTCTCTGTCTCTCTCTCTCTCTTTATATATATATATATGTATACATATATTTTCATCCTACTAGTTCTGTTTCTCTAGAGAACCCTGACTGATATGCTAGCTGAACTCATTGAATAGTTCTGTTTTTTTAGAAGATTCCTGATTATTTTCTGTATCCTAGTTTTTTTTAGAGGATTCCTGAGGATTTTCTATATACAAAAGCATGTCATCTGCAAATAGATATAGTTTCAGTTCTTCCTTTCTAATCTGGATGCCTTTTATTTCCTTTTCTTATCTAATTGCCCTGGCTAGAACCTCCATTACAATGTTGAATAGAAGTGAAGAGACATCCTTGTCTTGTTTCTAATCTTAGAGAAGCATCTAATTTTTCACCATTAGGTATGGGTTTTTGTTTTAGGTGCCCTTTGTTATGTTGAAGAAGTTCCCTTCTTAGTCTGCCGAGTGTTTTTTTAATCATGGAAGGGTGTTGGATTTTGTCAAATGCTTTTCCTGCATCTCTTGAAATGATCATGTGATTTTTGTTTTGTATTCTTTTGATATAATGTATTACATTAGCTGATTTTCAGGTATTAACCCAAGCTTACATTCCTGAGATAGACCCCTCTTTATCACTGTGTATGCGTGTATCTGTGTGTGTGTGTGTGTGTGTGTGTGTGTATTTATATTGCTAGATGTTTTGCTAGTATTTTGTTGAGGATTTTTGTGTCTAATGCATGAGAGATATTGATCTGTAGTTTTCTTATGTTGCCTTTGGTTTTGGTATCAGGGTAACACTGGCTTCATAAAAATGAGTTGAATTAGCCCTGCACAGTGGTGCACACCTGTAATCCCAACTACTCGGGAGGCTGAGGCACGAGAATTGCTTGACCCTGGGAAGCAGAGGTTGCAATGAGCTGAGATAGCACCAGTGCACTCCAGCCTGGGCAACAAAGCGAGACTCTGTCAAAAAAAAAAAAAAAAAAGCATGCATGAGAGAAATGATATGAAAAGTTTTTACTTATCTTCTACTTTTTGGAAGAGTTTGTGAAGAGTTGATATTAATTCTTCTTTAAATGTTTGGTAAAGTTTAGTGGTGACGCTATCTGTGACTGGGCTTTTCTTTTTGTGGATAGCTTTAAAAATTGTTAATTCAAGGTCTTCACTTGTTATAGATATATTCATATTTTCAATTTCTTCTTGAGTTGGTTTTGGTATTTTGTGTAATTTAGGCAATTTCCATTTCATCTAAGTTATCTAATTTACTGACATATTATTGTTCACAGTATTCCTTTATAATGCTTTTTATTTCTGTAAGGTCAGCAGTAATGTCTGGTCTTTTATTTCCAATTCTAGTAATTTTAGTCTTTTATTTACTTGGTCAAGCTGGCTAAAGATTTGTCAGTTTTGTTGATCTTTCAGAGAATCAGCCTTTGGATTCACTGATTTTCACTATTTTTTAATTCTCCATTTCATAAATGTCTACACTAATCTTTATTATTTCCTTCCTGTGCTTGCTTTAGGTTTAGTTTGCACTTTTTCCAGTGTCTTAAGGTGGAAAGTTAGGTTATTTGAGATCTCCTTTCTTAATATAGACATTTACAGTTGTAAATTTTCCTCTAAGCAATGCTTTAGCAGTGTTATGTTTTGTTATGTTGTATCTTCATTTTCATTTATCTTGAAGTATTTTCTGATTTCCCCTTTATTTTTTTGACATGGTATCTCTCTCTCTGTCACCCAGGCTGGAGTGCAGTGGAATGACCTTGGCTCACTGCAACCTCTGCCTCCTGGGTTCAAGCGATTCTCCTGCCTCAGCCCCCTGAGTAGCTGGGATTACAGGCATGCACCAACACGCCCAGCTAATTTTTGTATTAGGTAAAGACGGGGTTTCACCATGTTGGCCAGGCTGGTCTCAAACTCCTGACTTCAAGTGACCCACCCGCCTCAGCCTCCCAAAGTGCTGGGATTACAGGCATGAGTCACGTCTGATTTCCCTTTTGATTTATTCTTTGATCCATTGGTTATTAGGAGTATGTTGTTTAATTTCCACATACTTTTTTTAATTTAATTTTTTTATTTCCATAGGTTATCAGGGAACAGGTGGTGTTTAGTTACATGAGTAAGTTCTTTAGTTATGATTTGTGAGATTTTGGTGCACCCATCACCTGAGCAGTATACACTGCACTCAATTTGTAGTCTTTTATCCCTCACCCCCTTCCACATACGTTTGAGTTTCCCATTAGTTTCTAGTTTCATTCCAGTGAGGTCAGAGAACATACCTTTTTTTTGGAAATGGAGTCTTGCTCTGTAACTCAGGCTGGAGTGCCTTGGTGTGATCTCAGCTCACTGCAACCTCCGCCTCCTGAGTTCAAGCAATTCTCCTGCCTCAGCCTCCCAAGTAGCTGGGCTTACAGGCATGTGCCACCATGCCTGGCTAAGTTTTTTGTATTTTTAATAGAGATGGGGTTTCACCATATTGGTCAGGCTGGTCTCGAACTCCTGACCTTGTGATCTGCCCGCCTTGGCCTTCCAAAGTGCTGAGATTACAAGCGTGAGCCACTGCACGTAGTTGAACATACTTTTTATTATTTCTATCCTTTTACATTTGTTGAGGTTTGTTTTGTGCCTTAACATATGATTTACAGGCTGGGTGCAATAGCTCTTACCTGTGATCCTAGCACTTTGAGAGGCTGAGGCAGGAGAATGGCTTGAGGTGAGGAGTTTGAGAGACTAGCTGAGCAACATAGTGAGACCCAGTCTCTACAAAACAACAACAACAACAACAAAAACAACAAAAACAACCAACCAACCAACAAAAACCAGCCAGATGTGATGGCATGGCGCCCGTGGTCCTATCTACTTGAGAGGCTGAGCTGGGAAGATTGCTTGAGCCTGGGAGGTAAAGGTTGCAGTGAGTTGTGATCACTTCACTTCTCTCCAGCCTGCGCAGCAGAGTGAGACCCTGTCTCCTTGACTCAAAAAAACGTAAATATGTGCACTTGAGAAGACTGTATATTCTGCTGTTACTGGGTATAGTGTTCTATATATATCTGTTAGGTCTAGTTAGTTTAGACTGTTGTTCAGATATTCTGCCTAATTGTCCTATTCATTACTGAAGTTCAGGTATTGAAGTCTGAAGCTGTTATTGCTGAATTGTCTGTTTCTTCCTTGATCAGTTTTTCTTCATATTTTTTGTGTTCTAACATTAGGTGCATATATTTATATTTATTTTGTTTTCTTGACAGGTTGAACCTTTTATTATCCCCAGATGCCCCTCATTAGCTCCAGTTACAACCTCTGCCTTTTGATTGGTTTGTTTAATTCATTCATGTTTAATGTTACTATTGATATATTTGGTTTATGACAGTCATTTTACTTTTTATTTCTATGTGTTTTATGTCTTTTTATTGTACCTCTATTCCTCTTTGACTTGTTTTCCTTGCACTGAGTGAATGAAGCATTTTAATCTTTTTTCACTATTTTTTTGAATTTCTTTAGTAGTTGCACTAGGGTTTATCATGCACATCCTAACTTATCAGAATCAGTTTCAGGTTTATACTAGCTTAATTCCAGTGAGACATGGCAATGTTACCCTTATGTAGTCTCTTTTCTCCCTTTTTGATATTATTTTTATGTGTATTACATCTATTAATGACACAAGATCAACAATTATTGTTTAATTGGTACATTATCATCTGTAGCTATTTCCGTGCCCAAACAGCTTTTCTCCTACTCACCTTCTTTGTGCTATTATTGGCAAATATACTACATTTGTTTAAGTTTTAGGTCAAGCATATACCATATGCATGTTATTTTACACAACTTATTATATAAAATTTAGCTCATTTAAGAGAAGAAAGGAGAAAAATGTGCATTCACATTGCTTTTTATAATTGCATTATAAGAGCACCTTTACTGATGCTCTTTGTTTTCTCATGTCAGTTTGAATTATTGTATGTGTTGTGATAATTTTCAGCCTGAATAATTTTCTTTAGTAATTTCCTGTAAGATGAATCTGCTAGCAAAAATCTCTCAGTTTTTGTTTATCTGGGAGTGTTTTTATCTTACCTTTGTTTTTTAAAGATAGCTTTGCTGAATAAAGAATTCTTGGCTGACAGTTTTTTCTTTGAGCACTTTGAGTATGTTGTCTCAATACCTAACTGGCCTCCATTGTTCCTGCTGAGAGGTCAGCTGTTTGCCTTATTGAGGTTCCCTTGTTAGTAATGAGTTATTTTTTCTCTCGTTGTTTTCAAGATTTTCTCCTTGTCTTTGGTTTTCAGCATTTTTACTATGATACGTCTATTTGTGGATCTTTTTGCTACTCAGAAGTGCATCCTTAGGTCACCCTGGGATAATGGTGGTTGATATGCCTTGGATATTTGTCCTGCCCAATCCTCATGTTGAAATGTAACTGGAGGTGGGGCCTGGTGGGAGGTGTTTGGGTCATGGGGGCGGATCCCTCATGGTTTTGTGCTGTCCTTGTAATGGTGAGTTCTTGCAAGATCTGGTTGTTTAAAAGTGTGTGGCACCTCTGTGCTCTCTCTTGCTCCCACTCTTGCCATGTGAGACACCCCTGCTCCCCCTTCGCCTTCTGCCATGATTGTAAACTTTCTGAGACCCTCACCAGAAGCTGATGCCAGTGCTATGCTTTCTGTACAGCCTACAGAACCATGAGCCAATTAAACCTCTTTTCTTATAAATTACCCAGCCTCAGATATTTCTTTGTACAAACACAAGAACAGCCTAATACAGCGGTTTCATCTGGGCTTTCTTCAGCCAATTCTTTCCCTTCCCAGTTATTAAACACAACTAATTGCTGGTGATTGCTCCATTATTTTTGTCAGTGTCCCAGGCATATATTACTCTACAGTTTAATCCAATCAAATTTGGACTTCTTTAAAGGGATAGTTACTGAGGTTCCAGTGTTTGTAATTTGTTCTGACCACAGAAGGACTTCTCTCAGTTATCTATTTCCTGATTCTCTCCTGAAAACTAGCCAGCCTACAGTTTAGCAAATATCTCTAATGAATCTACCAATCTCCTTCCAATTGCCTTTTGATACAACCTCCATTGTATTTGAGCATGTCCTTATCCTTGAACTTCTCCATGCTCTGTTGCAATAAAGTCACTGTCTTTGGAAAGAGATTAGGAGCTATCTATTTTATGCACTACTGATTTTTTTTCCTTGGAAAAATATCTGAGCCACAGCTCTGGAGCTAGGTATGGAGACAATGGTGTGCTTGTCTCTGAGTGACACTCAGCTTTAGGAGCTGAATGCCAAGTGGAGGGGGGACAGTAGACTCAGATCTTCTCAGCTTGCCTCTCCCAGCATAGAACCACTGCCTTATAAGGCAGGGCAAGGGTGATTGAGACCTCAGCATTCTCAGTGGTACTGTACCCTAGGCAGAACTTCCATCTCACCATGAGCCCCCACCTCATGGCCATACTCACATAGAATTTAGCAATAGTTGGAGGCAAGAAGAAAAATACTAATGTTCTTTCCCTCCCATGAAGATAGCCCTCAGAGTGGGAGCTTGGGAGAGAGGGAGGCTTGTGTTCTTGGCTATCCCAATCTATAATGGAATGGAGTGGAATGTAACTGAGCTGGGAGGGTGGAGGGAATGGTTTTGGTTCAAATACCACCAACTTTTGTTGTTCTTGGCAAATTTTAGAAGATATTCTTGAACAGAGGCTTCTTCAATTACTGTATGCCTTTAGGTATAACAGAGACTTCAATTTTTAAAAACAGTTTTTAGCAGTTTTGCTGGAGAGCTGTTCTGTGGAGCTCCTCACACTGACATGTGGGAAATTGATCTCTTACACAATATTCTGGCAAAGGCAAAACTATAGGGACAGAAAAAAATAAGTAGTTGCCAGGGTTGAGAGTGAGGTTTAACTACAAAGGGACATGGAGGAGTTTTGGGGCTGATGAAACTGGTTTATAGTTTTATTGTGTATACATTTGTCAAAACTCAGAACTGTACACTAAAAAGAACAATTTTACTGCATGTAAATTATACCTCAATAAAATAAAAGGGGAAAAGCTATTATAAATATGCTCAAATATTTAAAGGAATATGTAAATATAATGAGAAAAATGGAAGGAGTTTTTGAAAAGGTCCAAATAGACCCTAGGGCTGAAAAATACCATATCTGAAATTTTAAAATATCACTGGATGGGTTTAACAGCAGATTAGAAGTTGTAAAAAAAAAAAAAGATCAGTGAACTTGAAGTAGAATATAGAAGTTATTCAAATTAAAACATAATGAAAAAACAAAATGAAAAGAATGGGGCCTCAGTGACTTACAGGACAACATCAAACAGTCTAAGCTATGTGTAATTGAAATTCTAGAAATTTGGTGGGATTTTAAATGATAATGTCTGTAAATGTTACAAACTGATGAATTATATCAAATAAGGAAGAAATAATACTAATTTTGAACAAAGTCTTTAAGAATATAGAGGAGAAGTCTTCACAACTCATTTTATGAGGCCAGAATTATCCTGATACTAAAACTGAAGACATTCCAAGAAAACAAAACTATGAACCACAATATCTCTCATGACTATAGCTGCAAATGTCCTTAACGAAATAGTAGAAAATTGAATCCAGCAATATATGGAAAGGATAATGTGTCATGACTAATGTGGTTTATCCCAGGAATGCATGGTTGGTTTAAAATTTGAAAATTAACCCATGTAATTCCCCATGAAGGAGAAGAACCACATGATCATCTCTACAGATGCAGAAAAAGTATTCAACAAAATTCAACATCCATTTGTGACTTGAAAAAAATGAAAACTTTGGCCAGGCACAGGGGCTCACGACTGTAATCCCAACACTTTGGGAGACCAAGGCAGGCAGATCACGAGGTCAGGAGATTGTGACTATCCTGATCAACATGGTGAAACCCCGTCTCTACTAAAATAGAAAAAAAGAAAAAAAATTAGCTGTGCCCGGGGGCGCGTGCCTGTAGTCCCAGCTGCTTGGGAGGCTGAGGCAGGGGAATCATTTAAACCCAGGAGGCAGAGTTTGCAGTGAGCCAAGATTGTGCCACTGCACTCCAGCCTGGTGACAGAGCAAGACTCTGTCTCAAAAAAAGAAAAGAAAAGAAAAAATGAAAACCTCAAGAAAACAAGGAGTGTAAAGGAACTTCCTCAACTTTATAAAAGACATTTAAAAATAACCTAAAGGTGACATTATTATACTTAATGGTGAAAGATTAAACACTTTGCACCTAAGACAGGGAATAAGACTCTTGCCATTTATAGTCAACATTATACTAGGGTCCTACCAGCTAATTAAGGTAGGAATAAGAAATAAAGGTATATAGATTGGAAAGGAAGAAGTAAAAGTTAAACTTTTTTGAGAATGACATGATTGTATAATAGAAAATCCTAAGAAATCTGCAAGAAAGACACCACCAGAACTAATACATAATACATGAATTTAGCAAGGTCACAGATTAATACATAGAAATTTATTGTATTTCTATTATCAATGAAAAACTGGATATGAAATTTCTAAATACCATTTATAATACTGTAAAAATTTATGAAATATTTAGGGCTAAATAAGACATATGAGATGTGTACAATGAAAATTACAAAATGTTGCTGAGAGAAATTAACGAAGACCTAAGTAAATGCAGATATGTACCATATTCATGGATTGGAAGACTCAAGTAAGATGCTAATTTTCCCCAAATTGATCTACACATTCAATGCAATCACAGTCAAAACTTTACAGCCTTTTTTTTTTTTTTGCAGAAATTGACAAGTTGATTCTAAAATTTAAGTGGAAATTGAATGAAACTATAAAAGTCATAAAATTTTTGAAAAAGAACAAAGAACTTTATCAGATTTCAAGACTATAAAAGTATAGCAAACAAGATAAGGTGATATTATGCTAAGGATAGACATACAGATCAATGGAACAGAACGGAGAGTTCAGAAGTAGACCCATACACATATAGTCAATAATTTTTTATAAAGGTACCAAGGTAAAAGGTAGTTTTTTTTTAAACTAATAGTACTGGAACAACTGGAGAGTCATATGAAAAAAAAATGAACCTCAATCCTTACCTCACATTGTACACAAGATTGACTATAACTAGATTAAAGACCTACACATAAGAGCTAAAATTATAAAACTTCTGGAAGGAAACATGAGATAAAACTTTTGGGAAAATCTTCTTAGGCAGTTCCCTAAAAGTACTAACCATGAAAGAAAAAAATACTGACAAGTTGGACTTTATCAAAATAAAAAAACTTATCTCCCAAAGACATTATTAAGAAAATGAAAAGGCAAGCCAAGAACTGGGAAAAAAATATTCTTAATACCTACATCTGACAAAGAACTTGTATTTAGACTATATTTAAAAAACATTTACAACATAATAATAAGACAACTCCCTTTTTAAAAATATCAAGAATTTGAAGACATATCACAAGAAAATATGTATTAATGGGCTGGGCACGGTGGCTCACATCTGTAATTCCAGCACTTTGGGAAAAAGTATTAATAAAAGATAGTTTGAAAGATGACATACTTTCATAGGAATTGATAAGAACACACAGAGAGATCAAATTCTTCCACTTGGTTTTGGATGCTTTGTGTCATTATCCTGACTTTGTTCACAATTAAGACTTTGAAATTCTCAGAATAGGAGAGGAGAAAAATTTGAATGAAGCTGGTCTAAACATAAGGTAGAAAAAAAGCCTTCAGATAATCCTGATGACACTTCTAGTTACCTGTTTGCTTCCTTTCCTTACCAAATTTCTCACAAGATGCTTTCTATTTGCTGTACCCCTCCTTACCAGTTTTTCCATGCAGAAAGCTGGCTTCTTCTCCCACCTTCACTTCCCCAACTACTCTCTTCAAACTAAACAATGACTTCCTAATTAGTAGATCTCACAGTCTCTGTTCCTTTTTCATTCTTCTTGATCAATTTTTATTTTATTTTTTAGAGACAGTCTTGCTCTGTTGCCCAGGCTGGAGTGCAGTGGTACAGTCATAGCTCACTGCAGCTTTGAACTCCTGGGCTCAAGCAATCCTACTGTCTCAGCCTCCCAAGTAGCTGGGACCCAGGTGTGTGCCACCATGCCTGGCTAATGATTTTTTGTAGAAATAGTGTTCTTGCTTTATTGCTTAGGCTGGACTTCAACTCCTGGGCCCAAGCAATCCTCCTGACTCAGCCTCCCAGGAAGCTGGGACTACATTTGTGTACCACCACGCGTGACTAATTATGTTTAAAAAATTTTATAGAGACTAGGCCTTGCTATGTTGCCCAGGCTGATCTTGAACCCCTGGGCTCAAGCAATCTTCTCACCTCAACCTCTCAAAATGTTGGGATTACAAGTGTGAACCATCACACCCAACCTTGATCTTTTTTTATATTGATGATATACTCATTTTAAAACAGTCCTTCTTATTTCTATGATACACTTCTCATTCTTTGTCCATCTGTTCTCATTCTTTTTCCATCCACTTCCCTCTTTTGCTTTTGTTCCTTCTTCCACCTCTAATTGTGGGCATCCCCAAACATCCCCCAAGATCTCTGACCATATGCTCTTCCAGC